TCGCGACTGGTCGGAAGGCAGGACAGAGATAAAGAGGAATCTTGGCCGCTGCGTTCGAGGTCGTGGTACACCGGTCGAGACAGAAGGCTCTGGACAGCCACCTGGAACTGAGGGTGCGCCCGGGTTGTAATGGCATGACGTCGTTCTCGGGTTGGCCGTTGCAGCTCTATGAGACTGTCGTGAGGGTGGATGAGTAAAGATTTCCAGAAACCTAAAAGTTCCGCCGGCATAAATTAGTAGGTAGTTGATTGGGGTCCAAAACTCTGCCTGACGGTTTCATCTGATGAACATCGGAGGGAAAGAAACAAATGGGGACCAATGCTCCTGGAGCTCGCCGCTCTTCCACCGGCGTCCCAAATCATATCGAACCCTTCCATTCGACTCGGCTTCGTTGCGACCGAACTTTTTAGTGGGTCTTTGTAAATGCCCCGCCGGTTCAATTGGCGCTCGCGTGACTTCTTGGGCCCCACACTCTGCGATTGGGCTTCCGGCAGGCAATGATGCCGGGCGGTGAGTGCTCCAAGAGCGTTGACGGGCCGGCAAAAAATCGACGGGCCCATGTCGCGGCATGGCGTTGAGGTCGTCGTTCGGTGAGTGCAGTGTTGACCCGAACTGCGACTCCAATCTCCAAGTCCCGCCTAGGCCTATCTCTCAGGAACTGTCCCCAGTAAACGCACCTTTGTTTGCCCGTGCCCACTGCAGCAACCTCTCCGGCTCGACAGTATTCAAAATGGTCGGCGTTATTCGGCGTCTTAATGTCGTCAGGGAAGTGAGTATCCTCTAGGTCAAACCACAAAGAGTATAACTAATAGCTAATGCTAACAACCACTACAGAAGGTAAATACGATCACAACTTGAACCACCTCACCTCCACGACAGCGCATGCGCAACATGTTCGGCACCTCGTCTTCACTACCGCGACCATCCTGACAATGCTGACGTGCGGCTTCAGCTCTTGAACATTCGCGCCGGGCCGGGGGCTGCCCTCCTCCCCAAGGAGGTCACCAAGGTGCACATGCAGTTTGCTCACAGGATAGAGGAAGGCCACATGGGTCCTAGGTTCGCGCAGTCTCCTACAGCGTGCTCGGCAACCAACTAATGGCCTTGTTTTTGCAGGAAGTTCTGGAGAGAAAACCTCCCCAAGCTCAAGTACTGGAATCCCGCGGTCCCCATGGTGATCAACAGGACAACCGACCAGAAGGGTCCCGCCGTCATGACCATCTACTTCCGCGACGACAAGGATGCTAAGCCCTCTTCGACTCCATTCCCCACGTCCTCTGCCGACGGTTCATCTCCAGCCCCTAAACCTGCCCAGGGCGAGAGGATAGTCACAATCGACATGAAGAACCGCAACTCGTCCGTTATCCTCAAGGAATTTCTGGACAAGACTGGTGCCGTTGCAGTTCAGCCGACGGCCAAGGACGAGGAGGAGTTCCGCGAGTTCGAGGACCTTCATAGGAGGTCTGAGATTGACCGCGAGCGCATCAGGAAGATGAACGACGCGAAGAAGAGAGAGAAGGCCATGTTGGCCAAGGCCATGAGCGACGCCCAGTCCATCAAGGCTGCTTCTGCATAAGTCATGCGCTCGCCACCACCGTATGTATGGAAAAAGAGAAAGGGACATCGTTTGGGTTGTGTATATCATATGTACAAGTATTTTGGGAAATTCATGTCAAATACCACCAAGCAGGAGCATTTTGGGACCGTCCCGGCTAGCTGGGTCAACTGGGGCGTTTGGGGAAAAGGAGGGTGGGGGGGGAGGGGGAGGCTCCAACGAGGGTCAGGCCGATCGCTGATGCCATCTCGATATGTGCGACGCCAAGCATATGGCCGAGCCAAGAGGTGTTTCTCATCAGCTTCTATGTCTGACACCGTTCTTCACTCCTCGATGGATTGACGCTCCTGGCACCCGGACAGCTGAGCTCGTCCCCCCTCAATCATCGGTATCAGATCTGTGATCGACGATACTCCGTACATAACAGCCATGGCTCCCTCCCAGGTCTCCGGGCCCCGATCCCCGGTTCCCTAACAATGGACATTGAAACAGAGCATCCTGGACGAAGGATTCTTTTACGCAGCCGGGATTGGGTCTAGCCCATTCTTGCGCGCCGACCCCGCATAGCAGCCCCACGGAACGACTTCCGGATAGGTCGAGAACCCGACATCTCCATTTCGCGACTTGCCGTGCGTCCGTGCCTGCGATGCTGCGCCGGTATTATCGCCGACTAGGTCAAATAGTCTCATTATTTTGCTGCTAGGATCGCGGCGGCCTTCCGGCAGGGAACCACGAGCACGATTTACCCACAGCATCCATCTCGGTTTTGTCTCGCCCGGTGGCCTCGTGTCACTCCCCTTGTCAATTCAAGATGGTCATTCATTATAAGGGAGCAGAGACCCCGTCCCAACATGAAGTTCCCATGTGGTGTACTAGTCTTTTGCTGTCGGTAGAGGAACTACCCAGTGCTTCGTCAAAATCAGACTGTCCAATATCTATCTTTACATATATGTTCACCGTCTTTTCTTCTTCAGCTCTGATCTCTCTACATCCCCCATAAACTTTCACAGTTTGTATGAGTCTGTTGTGTGAAAGGATCCATACCCTTTTCAGTGACTTGGCTGTCTTGTTGCCGAGCTAGCAGGTGAGTAAAGACTCTTCAACACTTCATCATATGCATGAATTTGAGCCCAAGGATGGCTGACCGTTGCTGCTCTTATCTAACAGATGATCAAGACTACCCAACAGAGCTGAGGTTGAAAACAGTCTGTGCCAGATAGACATGATTCAACATTCGCCCTCCATGGATAGCGTAGTTCAGTGTCTGGTCAACGACTCGCGACTGGAGATCATGCTCGTCAGGATAGTGGAGTGTACAGCTGAGTTAGTCTACGTCCTATATCAAATCTCACCTTTTCCGCACCCTTGACTGACAATTCTTTTCCTCGTAACCACAAACAGTAGTTTCAGCATGTCGGTAGAATACCAAGTAACCGCCACCGGCCCGGTCGGTTCCGTGGTCGACGCCATGCTTGTCGACCTCGTCTACCTCGACCGGCCCTTCGGCAAGGTGCAGCTACCCCAGACGAAGACGCGCTTCAACGGCACCGACGTGCACTTTTACGACCAGATCATTCACGTCACCGACATGTCCATCTGGCTGCAGCTCTTATCGGACCTCACTCACAAGGAGAAATTGGTATACCATCTCCGCAATGGCGAGGCCCATCTCAAGGGCCCGTTTGGGACGACAGCGCAGTGTGGGTACAACAAGGATATCCATGTGTTGGGGATGAACGGGCTCCCAGTCCTGATCAAGGATGTGGATCGGGAGGAAAGGAAGGTCACGCTGACCATGAGAAATCTGAGTACCTTTGAGCTTGACTATGGTCCGACGGTCTTTGAGATTCAGGAGGGTGGAGGGAAAGGGCAGTGGAGAACGATTGCGAGGTTGAAGGGCGACTTCTTTACTAAGCGGGGAGAATTTCATGTTGCCTTGGAGGTCGAGACGGTATCCTTGGACGGCGAAATCGACCACGCTCAAGGGGGTGAGATGAAGGAGAGTGGGATGAGGCCAGCAGCAAAGAAGTTGGGGTTGGATGCGGAAAAGACATACCATTTCCAAGGCGTTGGAACGGACAAGGAGGGAGCATGGACAAATGAAGCGATCAAATTTATTCGAAGCCCGATCTTGTTGACGGAAAGATTTATCTCTTTGTACTGACAGGCCAAAGGCGATGGGATGGAAATACTTTCAAGGCTGATTGGACAGTGGGACCTCGATTTTCAGGGGAAGTAAACAAAACCCAAAACCTACATATGGTGAATGATGTCGGTGTTCTTCAGTTTTCTTTTCGCTGTTACTTGTTGGGCTGGGCAGAATAGCCAACCACCATGCGTTTGCAGGCCTTCCTTCCACTTCAATTGGTAGATCACAGCCGAAAGGAGCATGGATATGTTGGTGCATCTGGAAGGCACGGTGCAGCTGAAACCAAGCCCAGAATTGTGAGGGGGAAGCTGCAATTGTTATAGCTCTACGAAGACTTGGAATACAGAAGCTAGGTGCAACAGCCCAGTGTCCTTATGCCCGACAAAATGCCGTAGAGACAGATCAATATGATACAACACCAGGTTTGTGGCGGCTCAACAGTTACCTCAGAGTTTCGTTCACATGGAAATCCTCTTCAAGTGAAAATGGGCGATGAAACGCCCCGGAGCTCTTGAAGCCCTCCCGAGCTCTCCCGTCGATCCGGGAGATCCATCACTCTGGTTCAGCAGGGCCGCATTCTTTAGTGCATCCCGTCATGCCCTGGAGTCTCGCCAGGGTCAGCCCAGTGAAATGGCACCCCACAAAAGTGAACGAACGGCCCTGGCCGATGTGGCTCGCTGGCCAATCAGATGCAACTTCACCACCTGTAACGCTGCGCCTGCGGCGGACTGCGGGCCCCCATGGAACCAAGAGGCCACGAAGAACAAGTGTCCATCAACGAGACAGGCCCGGACGGGATGCATCCTCCCTTTTTGGTCATGTCCCGGCGTTTTTACGACTCGAAAAAGTGTCCAGTCTCGAGGCTTCTGCAGCACTGCAGCTCCTCCTCCCTCTTCTCCTCTACCTACTTACTTTTTCCTCCTCTAGTCATCTTCTTCTCCACCCCATTTCAGTTTCGTCTTTCAAGGACGAGCTTTCAGCCACACCCGGCAGCCCCCTTTGTTTCCTTCTCACCCCTCCATTTCAACCTTCCCGAACGCAATCGTGTTCTCCTTTCGGCGGCACATCGTCGATTGTTTGGGCTTCGACCTTTTCCGGACCATTGATCTTCACGCCCACTTTCCTGTTCGTTGCCTGACGTTTAAACCTCCAAGCATCAGCTGGGAACAAAGGTACCTTGCTGACTTCGAGGATCCTCTTCTCTGACAAAGGCCCACGGTTCCCCCCTCTTGTTATATTCTTAGTGCCTTGTCCCTCTACACCACACACTTCGTCTATACTGCCACGCGTCCGTTCTACACTCTCGTTAAATCCATCTCTTTCTCTTCCATGATCGGCCTTGCCATCAAACTACCACCTACGGCCTAACCGATCCCCGATTGGATTGATATCTCTTCGTCCACGCCCACGATCGATCTAGACACTCTGAAGCTCCCTTGAGCGAACTTGCACCATGGCGACCCCGACGGATGGCTCCGAGCGAGCCACCACGGCCTCCGGTGCCGATCCCTTTGGAGATGCGGCCCGGAGACGCAACATTCCTCCAGTCGCTCCTACTGCTACCGAAAAGCCCCAGCCCGAGGATAAGAAGAAGGCTCTGGTTCCCGTGAAGAAGGTCCGTAGCTAGCCTGTGACCCAATCTTACACCTTATCCATGCTAATCAACATCTGTATTCTAGGAGCAGAGCTTCCTTGATTGTATTGCGAGCTGGGAGTGGATCGTTGCCCCCGTCGTCTTCACGTTCCTGGCTTTCTTTACGCGTTTCTGGCAGATTGGTCTTTCCCCCATCGTGACATGGGACGAAGCTCAGTAAGCACACCCGCCTATCCAGACCCCATAGATTGCGAGGCTAGCTAACACGATACAACGTGCAGTTTCGGAAAGTTTGGTAGCCATTACCTCAAGCGCGAATTCTACTTCGATGTTCACCCTCCTGCCGGAAAGCTCCTCGTTGGTCTGAGCGGATTGCTTGCGGGTTACAATGGATCTTTCGAGTTCAAGTCCGGCGAGACTTATCCCGAGGAAATCAACTACACCTTCATGCGCCAGTTCAACGCTTTTTGGGGTGCCGTGTGCGTTCCCCTGGCCTACTTTACCGCCAAGGCGCTTCACTTCAAGCTCCCTGCCGTCTGGCTCGTCACTCTCATGGTTCTTTGCGAGAACTCATACACCACCATCAGCCGCTTCATCCTCCTCGATTCTATGCTCCTCTTCGGTACCGTGGCCACCACTTTGTGCTGGGCCAAGTTCCATAACCTACGCAAGAAGAGCTTCACGCCTGAGTGGGCCTTCTGGTTGTTCCTGACTGGTCTCAGCATCGGCTTTGTCTGCAGTGTCAAGTGGGTTGGACTCTTCGTTACCGCTCTGGTCGGTCTCTACACCATTGAGGACCTCTGGAACAAGTTCGGCGATACCAAGATGCCCGTCAAGGTTCTTGCTGCCCACGTTGCCGCTCGCGTCAGCTGCCTCATTATCCTGCCCTTTGCGGTTTACCTTTTGAGCTTTGCCATCCACTTCTGGGTTTTGACCAACTCCGGCCCCGGCGATGCCCAGATGCCCTCGCTCTTCCAGGCTAACTTGAGAGGCACTGAGGTTGGCAGGGACAGCCCTTTGGAGCTTGCTATCGGCTCCCGCGTGACCATCAAGAACATGGGCTATGGTGGTGGCCTGCTTCACAGTCACGTTCAGACCTACCCTGAGGGTTCTAACCAACAACAAGTGACCTGCTATCACCACAAGGATGCCAACAACGACTGGTTCTTCTACCCTAACCGCAGGGAGCAGGCTTATGACGAGAACTCTGACGAGATTCGTTACATTGGTGATGGCAGCACCGTTCGCCTTATCCATGCCCAGACCGGCCGCAACCTCCACTCCCACGAGATCCCCGCTCCCATGACCAAGAGCGACAAGGAGGTTTCTTGCTATGGCAACCTTACCGTTGGTGATGAGAAGGACCACTGGAAGATTGAGGTCGTCAAGGATACCAATTCTCGCGATCGCTCCAAGATCCGCACTCTCACCACTGCCTTCCGCTTGAAGCACGAGGTTTTGGGATGCTACCTCCGCGCTGGAACCGTCAATCTTCCCCAGTGGGGTTTCAAGCAGATCGAGACTACCTGCACCAAGACCAACAACCCTCGTGACACCTACACTCACTGGAACGTCGAGTCCCATACTAACCCCAAGCGTAAGTTTGACCCGTAATTGAGGGTGGCTTTGTTCCTTCTGCTAACAGACACCAGTGCCTCCTGCTGCACCCGGTCAGTACAAGAGTCAATTCCTTCAGGACTTCATTCACTTGGTATGTATCTCCGTTCCCATCTGCTTCTAGGAAATCCTATTAACCTGCGTGACAGAACGTTGCCATGATGACCTCGAACAACGCTCTTGTTCCCGATCCTGACAAGCAGGACGATTTGGCTTCCCAATGGTGGCAGTGGCCTATTCTTCACGTTGGCTTGAGAATGTGCAGCTGGGATGACAAGACTGTCAAGTATTTCCTGCTTGGCAATCCTCTCGTCTACTGGGGCTCCACTGCCGCTCTTGGAGTATTTGGCCTTCTTGTTGTTTGGTACACTCTCCGCTGGCAGCGTGGCTACAAGGAGCTCGGCCAGGACGGCATTGACCAGATCCACTACGCCGGAGTCTACCCTGTCATCGGCTGGTTCCTCCACTACTTGCCCTTCATCGTCATGGGCCGTGTCACCTACGTCCATCACTATTACCCGGCGCTCTACTTCGCCATCCTCTGCTTCGGTTTCCTTGCTGACTGGTTCCTCAGAGCCAAGAGCAAGCTTACCCAGGGCATTGCCTATGGTATCCTTTATGCGACAGTTATTGGGCTTTACATCTTCTTCATGCCCATCAGCTGGGGAATGGTCGGCCCGAACCAGCAGTACAAGTACATGAAGTGGTTCGATAACTGGAGGATCTCGGATTAGATGTGGTGATTGGGATGGAAACTATGGTCAGCCCCGTTCTCGGTTGGCAATCATCACAGCAACAGTCTTCCTGTAACTGATGCTATTCCAAAAGTGTACCAAATTCTGTGCATCTGCATTGACAACATTTTATTTCCTTTGAAGTTTGATCTAAAACAAAAAGAACAATGAGCTATAGAAAAATGGGAAACAATTCATTAGTGTGTCTACTGGAGGGTATTTGTCGAGATATTTGCCTGTTGCAATTTGATGAAGAGTGTTTGTAACGAAAGACACTGGTTTCCTTGATGTAATAGATCAGGGCCATCAAACTTGCGTATTAGGGCAAGTCATATACTCAGAAACACGGTACACTTGTCGACTAGCCATTTGGTAGTAGTGATTAGAAAGTCTATCGTTCTGCCTGCGTTCCCGGTATCAAGGCCCGATACCCCATTGTTGAAAATGCAGATGCGTTCATCTCGGTCGAACAGGAAATCATCAGGGCAATACATCATTACATCCATCCACATGATTATCTACTTTGCTCCCTGGTTCCTGTCAATCCTGTTTCGAATTATTACGCGGCAGACCGATAGTCGTCATATCCCCACCATCGTTTCCCTTTCCCTCGCTTTTCGCATTCCCATGAAAGGTTTTGATCGTATCTCATGTGTATTTGATTCGTCCCTCTTTGCTTTCCTCCTCCACCTTCTCCTCCTCAAGGGGCTACCTTCACTCAACAACACCCTCCATAACCGCCCGCCTTATCCCCCGTCAACTTCACATGCGTCCCTCCCCCTCCTGCGCCGCCTCCACCTAACCCAGCACTAGGCCCCTTTACCCCCGACCGTCTATCATTCAAATCGTACTTTCCCGCCTGAATATTCTGGTATATCCTCTCGGCCACCCTCATGAACGCCTTCTCGACGTTCTCCCCGCTCTTGGCGCTCGTCTCCACGTACTCGAGCACTCCATTCCTCCTTACCCACTCTTCCGCTTCTTTCCTCGTTACTTCTCGCTTGTTGTTTTCTCCCTCGTTTTCGTCGTTTGCTTCTGTAAGATCGGCCTTGTTGCCGACCAAGATCACCACAATGTCCGGCTCGGCAATGGCGCGAAGGTCGTTCAGCCAGTCGGTTACGTGCTCAAACGTCTGTTTGCGCGAGAGGTCGAAGACGAGGAGGGCGCCCGAGGCGCCGCGGAAGTAGGAGCGCGTGACGGATTTGTAGGTTTCTTGGCCGGCCGTGTCCCAGAGGGAGAGTTTCATGTGTTTTTGCGGGACAGGGGGGTCGGATGCTGAAGAAGAAGAAGAGGAGGGCTTGGCGGCTATTGGCGGTGGGGGGAGGCCCCCGGAGGAGGAGGTTGTAGTGTTTGGTATTGTTGTTGTTGTGGGATCTGAGGTGAGGGTGGTTGTGGAGGATGCTTGTTGTTGTTGTTGTTGTTGTTGTTGTGATTGTTGGGAATCAAGGTTGCTGTGAGGAGGACCGACGGGGACGATGCGTGAGCCGAATTCGACACCGATGGTCACGTCGTGGTGGGTGACGAAGCGGCCTTCGCAGAGGCGGATGGTGAGCGAGGATTTACCGCAGCCAGAGTCGCCGATGCATACTAGCTTTGCGATGTAGTCCCAGGGTAGTGAGGACGACATGGTGGGTTCTGATTGTTCGATATGCTCTTGCCGATTCGGTTGATGGGGTGTTGAATGGATGTTGGCAAGTTTGTTAATAATAATGGAGGAAGAAACCTCCAGATATGGTCGGGGGTAGCCTGAATGCTTCTCGATGACGGATGGCCTGGGCCTTGCTTGGTGTTTATCGTTTCGAGTTGCGGGGACTGGGTAATGGGTAACCGAGCGGGAGTTTGCAAGGGGTTCACTCGTCAGGAGATCAGGCGAGGTGATAGACTGCAGAGCTATCCCGAGATAGGCAGTGGATCTGGTTCCCTGTTATATTCAAGAGTCGGCGGCTTGGACGGTGTCTCTTGGGAGACTGGTTTGACTGCTTGGTTGATCGATGATGATATATATGGCCAAGTGCCGCCGAGGCTGGACTGAGGAATCTTGCTCTTGTTGGGAATGTGATTCTCCCACACCGTTCCTGACGACAATGCAACGCAAGAAGAGATGATGATTGGACTTTTGGCTCGCTGCAGTGGCTGGACGTCGTTCAGAGTATCAAGGAGGATTGGACTCGGAAGAGATGATGGATGTTGACTCGTCGCGAATTGACAACTGATATAGCTGGGTTTTGCCTTTCGATGATGTTGGATTGCGGTGGAGGATGGACGCCTACTTAGAACGAGACTTGTGAAAGAGGTCGCTGCAGGAACCTGGCTGCGTGAACGACTGACTGGATGAAGGCTGAATGGCGGACACCCTGACACCTCACTCACGGGGAGACAGCTTGTAGCTCCAGTCTTGTTAAGGAAGGATCCAGCCAATGGTAGACGGCCGCTTACAGTGGATCACCTGGTCTGGGCTCGCGGTGGCATCGGGTACATATCAGGCAGTGACGCAACGAGAAGTGAACGATAACAGACGTCTTCACATTCCCGTTCAGAAGACGATGTCATGGGGCATCATCCTTTTTGAGTTAAGGAAGTCTAGACAAAGGGTGAATGCCTCACAAGGGGCCGGCAGGTGAGTTAATTGTTCGCACAAGCAAAGCCTTTTGCACTTTGTATTATCTCCCGGTGTGGCTGTTGTGCACTCTGACAGTCTGACTGCCGAAGAAAAGTTGAATCACGGCATGATTGATTTGATGAAGCCAATGTCGTGTTTCTACTTAGTGTACCTTGAAGGAGCAAACATCCGGCAGGCACCACCGAATGTCGTTCTTCATTACCTCCCGTCTACAGAGCTCCAAGCTGTCCATCTGTTCCGCCGTCCATGCCTTCCTTGCCCGATGTACCCATCAGGGTTCCTGTCCTCCGTGTAGTGTAGTGTAGTATAGGTGTAGCGAGGATCGGACGTGGTAACTGAAAGGTCAGAGATGTGAGGGTTGGTTGTTGGTGTCGGGTGGTTTGCCCGTTGATCACGGCAGGCGGACTGGACCTCAGGCTCCCAGCCAGGTTTGTCGCGTGCAGTGTGGGCGGTCAGTCGCCAGCCCACTTAACTGAAGTTCACTTGTTAGACAGTGGACACCCGATCCCTTGTCTGCCTGTTTCTTGTACACCCGTACCCTACCTACCTAAGACTCCGGATCTTATCAACAGCCATCTAGATTCCCTTGTTTTGTTTTCGGCCTTTTCATCCTCTTTCTGGTTCGCTCTCGTATATCTCCATGCACTGATTGATGCACATGGCGCCCATGTTCTTAGGACTATCCAGTTAATTCTCGTTGCCTTGGGCCGCCTTGTTCATCCCTTCTTTACATGAGGCAGAAGCCTGAAGTGCCAAACCTCCTCCGTCGCTCTGAAACCCCCTCCATCGATCAGGCTCTGGCTGTATAAGCAAGCGTCTTGTTAGCAGAACAGAGTTATCCTGTCTAACAGACTCCAGGCCGTCGCATACCAAGTGGCACCTTTCCCAATTCTTGAGAAAACACAAGCTGGAATTATCCTTACATCGGCATCTCCAACTTGGCCACATCGCTCCGACCACCACTGGCATCCCGTCTGCGTTCGTCTGCCGTCATTAGCTACGCATCGTCCGCCGTGGTCCCACACCGCCGACTAACACCACGAGGCACCATTCCCGACGAGCCCACTGGAGTTGCAACAACCTTCTCGAAACAGCTTTTGGGGGCGTGGGATAGACCGCCATGTTCTCAGAATGTGCGTATATCTATGTCCACCTCCCCAACCCTTCTCATTAATTGATATTTACCCCCCAGCGTCCAACCGTTTTTCATACTGACTAACAGGCGATACCAGATGCGTCAAAGTTCCTCTCCCAGTCACAGTCACGGTTGTCCAGCTTTGCCGGGCAAGATAACAACGACCGGCCTTCGTCTCGCCAACCAGGGGGCTGGACCGGCAGAGGCCGAGGACTGAGTGGGCGCTCCTACTATAGAGGCGCCACAGGCAACCCTTATCAACCGACTGGCTCTCGCTTTGGTACCCTTGCCGGATTCGGGTCTCGATACGCCCAGGATGCGCCTCTTTTTCAAGCCGCTGTTGAGCAAGAGGAGGAGGACGAGGAGGAGAGAGACCGGGAGGCTGCAGATCTGTTTGCACTGCAACGCTCCCGTCGCGTGATACCTGCCGCCCGGTTGGAAGATAGCACCGAAGCCGAGGATGATGGGAGTGCTTCGCTAGAGAGGAGTCGGGGATACCAAGACGCACTCGGAACTCGCCTCCACGGCATCAGAAGCAGTTGGAACGACTCTACAAGTCTATCCAAGCGTGAACACGACCGCCGACAAGGAGGGAGCAAGTTATTTGGGAAGCACAAACGCCAAGGCTCGGATGAGGATGACAGCACCAAGGGGGCCATGGAAGACGTAGGATTGCAGTCAACTATTGCCGAGGATGATGATGACCCGCCAGAGGATCTGTTGGGTGAGGCTTCTATGGGCAGCTCACCACCGGCTTTCCAAAAGTTCAAGTCACGGCCGGCAACGCAGAGATATTCGACCAGGAGAAGTTCGGTCCAGGATTCGGAGGCCGGTCTATTGCACGAGTCGCGAAGGTCGTTCGAGGGTGGATTGCCACCAGATGCTGGGCTAACGCCAGCACAACCGGTTGCGGATGGGGAAATATTTGTCCACGATCCTTTCTTCGCTTACATATTCTTGATTGCTTTGGCTTCCTTGTTTGCGACATTTGTGCTGGTTTACCTTCACACAAGCGGGAAGCGGCCACTCGGCGACACCATTTACAACACCATAACCAAGTCTTTCAACCTACTAGCTGTCGACACATTGGTTTCAATGATTGTCGCATTTGTGTGGTTGGCGACTTTGCGGGCGTACATCAGGCCACTGGTTTACTTGATCTTGGTGTCCGTGCCGATTATCATGACCGCCTTCTCCCTGTATCCCTTGATCTTGAGTTTTCGCTCAACGAGCGGAAGTACCCGAGCGCAGGATACCGTTATGAGGTGGGCTTCCACTGTCCCAGCTGCTGCGGCCGTGATCTGGATATACATGGTCTTCAAGGGCCGTCTTGCGATCCGGTCAGCCATCAATATCCTGGAGTTCTCGAGTCGTATTCTTGCGGCAAACTCGCCTTTGATGTTGGTTGGTGTAGGATGCCTGGCCACGGTAGTGCTCTGGACCTGGGTCTGGTTACTCATGTTTACCAGAGTCTTCCTGGGCGGGAGTTTCTCCAGCTACCTATCGCGTTTTATCATCAGTGCGTCCAGCTGGTGGCTAGGCATCTACTTTGTTCTGATGTACATCTGGACCTTGTCGATTCTCTCCGGCATCCAGCGAGCCACGACGGCGGCGACGGTATCGCAATGGTATTTTCATCGCAATGCGGTTCCAGCAGCATCATCCAAGGACGTCGTCTCTGCCGCCCTGGGCCACGCTCTCAGCACCATTTTTGGCACTATCAGCATGTCGACACTAATAGCACTAGCCATCCGCCTTCCCCTTCTCATATTACCCTCTCGCGCTGCAAACATTCTCAGTATGATTGTTTACTCGTTCGTTCCTACACCGATCGCAGCTCTTACGAACCCGTTGACTCTCACGTATGCCGCCATCCATTCCGAGTCCCTCGCGGTTGCTTCTCGAGGCCTTAGCCGGATGGACTTCCTTGCCCCTCAGCGGCCCACTACGACGCTTACGCCAGTCGCTCTACGATCCGACACTCACAACTCCCCACTCCTGCCATATCGGCTAGCGAAGCTTATCTTGCATGCTACGCGGTTTATAATGGCTACCGCACTCGGCTTTGCAGGTTGGGTCATGACGGCTCGACAGCTGACGGTTGAACGACCCGATGGGACCCTGGGACTCAAGGGAAGCGCGTACGCCTATGTTGTGGGTATGGTTGCCAGCTTTATCGGATGGGGCATCCTGGGCGCAATGGAAGGTATCCTGAGCGGTATCGTCGATGCCGTTGTCATCTGCTATGGTAGCGAAAGGGGAATGGCTTCAGGCGGTTACTGTATGGAGGCCGCGCAGCTCTTTGGTTCTTTCAATGGATCTTACGGTAGGGGCAGAGATGAAGAGGACCGCCGCGAGGTTTACTAGGCGTCCAGACCTGACGAGTGGCATACCCCATGGAATGGAAACATAGCATTTGAATGATGATGGAACGAAACAAGATTACGCATTACGATGGGATGGTATGGTTTGATACTTTTCGGAACTTCACAACTGGTCTAAAGCGCAGACGATATGAGACAGGAAGAGTCATGGAATGGTTACGGAGACTGCACAGGTATTGCGATTTCGCCGGGTCTTTCCTCTGCGTTACCGAGCATAATTGGAGTAGAGGAAACTGGCCTAAACTGCATTGTTATGGTGACCAAAGGGGCAATCTTGGTTTCATAGACAAGTGTCGGTAAACCGACGCAAGGTAGGCTGTTGTTCGAAGAGTTGGTTGATGCTGGCTTTGGGTTAGGGTTAATGATTGAAACATGGCGACAATATGAAGATACCTATGCTACCAGTCCACAAGAAGAATCTAGCAAGATATAGTGTAGAGCGAGTGTCTCTGGGATGAGTTCTGCGCGGCTCCACAAAGAATGGTGATAGCACAGCCTCCTGTGGTTATCGATTTGATCACATGGCAGGACACGGCATCGTCTGAACCTGGACCATGGGCGGCCTCAACTCGAGGCGACAAGAAAGCGTGACAAATGTTGCAATTCAGCGATTCAGGCGAGTTGTCGGAAGTTAAAGAGTTCCGACCTTGACGCTCGCCACCTACAGTGGCCGATTCATCAAGACACTGCTGCTACACTAGAGGCTATTTCGGAACACCGGACAGCCGCTGACGGGGGCTCGGGGTTCGAGCAGTTGAACGACTCCCCATACCAAACATACCTCTATACATGCTGCTGAATCATCACGATATCTAGGTTGTCTCGCTTGTCAATCCGAACCCCGCATTGACGGGGCTGTGCATTTGTACACTATGGTAGGGATTGGATGTTCCTGAGCTCTCCCGTGGCTTCTATCGATGTGTGGTTTGGAATCCGCTGCTGCCTCTACACTATTCAGTGGTGTGTTCCTCTGGTGTTCCCCGGCGTGTCGTTCGCAAACCGCAAGTCTTGGCATCATATCCGCTGTTTACATCATACCGGACGTTGGTCTACTTTCAGTCGCAACGCCACCCTCGTCAAGCTGCCTCAACAACTGGGACCCCTACGCAGGTGCATTGGTTAGTCTTATAGATAAACACCAACACCTTCACAATACCAAGTTTGCCCTCTCCGTACTTTCTATTCAAAAATAATCCTTTCGCATTTCGCATCTGTTGGACTCGGCGCAGTTCTGCCACCTGGGAGTTAGTTACCACGAGATACTTATTCTACAGTACATATATAAAGCAACCCCCCCCCCCCCCCGCTTTGAAACCCATCTCTTACACGACCTACTACATACCTCTTGTACCCCTCCTTCGTCATTCACGCACCTTTTTCTTGCCTCACCCGACATCAACCAACAAGTCGTACGAACCAGATCTCCTATTCTACATCTTCTTTCCTCGACTTTCGAGTCCTCCCTCTGTTTCACATAATCAACCCACCTGCAAACAAGAACACACAGCACAGTCCGTTCGATGGCCGACTTCGTTGCTCCTCCTCCCGGTCCTCCCCCGCCCAAGGTTCCCGAGGGCTGGGTGGCACGATGGAATGAACAGTACAAAGAATGGTAAGTCTACTCTTGCTCACCCGTCCTCGTGTGTTTGAACACTCTGGCAATCATCAACAGCGATCGATCAACAATCAAGCGCATCATCACTAACACCATCCTCACCAGGTTCTACGTCAATACCTACACCAAAAAGTCCCAATGGGAGAAACCCACCGAGCCCGCCGTGCCTCCCCGCGATGAATCCGCCCCTGCCGGCCCCCCTCCCTCCTACTCCGCAGGCGACAGCAAACCCGTTGTAAGCGACACCAAGTCCAACAACCCCTACGACAACCCCGCCAACCGCGCCGGCGGTAACGGCGGCGGTCCTTCCTCATACGAAGACGAAGACGCACGTCTAGCTCGCCAGCTCCAAGCCGAAGAGGACGCTCGCGCCGCCGCCGCCGCTAACCAGCGCGCTCACACCCCTTCCGGTCAACAGTCGCCATTCCCCTCGCAACTACCGCCTCGTCCTGAGACCAACGATCGTGGCGGATCTAAGGGGTCCTTCCTCGGCAAGATTTTTGGTGCTGCGGGTAAGGGCAAACACTCCGGGTCTTCGTCCCACGGTTACGGCGGTGGGGGTGGTTACCCAGCCCAGGGTTATTCGCCCGCTCCGTATGGAGGATCACCGGCGCCTTATGGACAGCCTCAGCAACCGATGTACGGCCAGCAGCCACCCGTTGGCTACGGAGGATACCCTCAACAAGGTGGTTATGGAGGATACGCTCCTCCGCAAGGATATTATGGTGGAGGCGGTTATCCCCAGCAGCAACAGGCTTACGGCGCTCCCGGGAGGAGCGGTGGCGGCGGTGGCATGGGCATGATGGGCGGTGCGGCGCTGGGGTTGGGCGCGGGTGTCCTTGGTGGTGCGTTGATTGCTGATGCGGTCAATGACCATGATCAGGAGATTTACCAGGAAGGATATAGTAAGTTTGATCCCGACCCTTTGTGCTTAGATCGTTCGAATATTAACATATCTTAAATAGATGATGGCCAGGATGGTGATATGGACTTTGGTGGTGGTGATGATTTCTAAACTCGCTTGCTCGCCTGCTCGAGTATCAAAGTCGAGTACAAGAGCTTTGAGCAGTACGGCTTTAGGCGGTCATGGGCTGCCTTAGGAGACACTGCATTCTCTTCATACTTTGCAGGGGCTTATTTTCCTTTCTTGATGACGTCTTGATGAATAGGATTTGGTTTGGCGTCTTTGCATGGAATTGGTAAGGGGAGGTTTTATCTAGGACAGGACTTGCTATCAAACCTACGATGACGAATGGGATCGATACGTATTACAAATAATTGCCGTGCATTTTATAAGTCCATCTGTCATGATGCTAGTACCGCTAAGCAAAGCCCAGTTTGTCTATGACCTTGATAGCAAGCATTATATATACCGGGAACCAGCTTTTTTCTAGCCTGTTTGTACTATTCATTAAACCCCTTCCCATCTTCAATCTTCATCTTCAGCACCATCCTCATCCTCTTCCTCCTCCTCTTCGTCTTCTGAAACCTCACCACCAAGCTTCTTGAGTTGTTCCTATACACCAGCAAACAATGTCAGTCTACGTCATCTTCTTGAAATCCCAAGGGCACTTTAGTTGAAAGGGTTTTGCTTACCTTATATTTCTGCCTCTTTTCCTCCAAATCATCAAACAGCAACAGCAAATCGTCCCTCTCGCTCTGTGCGTTCTTGATTTCTTCATCCAGCTTCTCTTTTACCTCCTTCACTTGGTTCGTGGCCTCCTTCTTGGCCTCCTCGACTGCCTTGGCCACCGCCTCAGCTACGGCCTTTGCAACGGCTTCTTCCCTCTCTTTCTCGAGTTGCTTCCGCATCTGGGCCAACTCGTCTTCCTTTTCTTTCTGGAGACGGGTTTCGATTTCGCTGGCTGCTGCTGCCGCCTTCGCCGCCGCTTCGGCCTCAATAGCAGCCGCTTTTTCGGCACCGGTAGCTGCGTCAACCTCAACCTTGTCGTTGTGCTTGATAGTTTCAACTTCCTTCCTAATTTCCTCCACTGCCTTCTGAATCGCCTCCTCTTTTTCTTTCTCCATCCCCTCTAACCTCTCTTTCATGCTCACCATCTCCCCCTCCTTATCTTTCAAAGTCTTCTCCACCTCCGCAACCGCATCCTCCTTCTCCTTCAATAATCGTTCTGCCTCCTCCCTCTCCTCTATTACCCCCTTCAGCCTCTGTTCAAGCTCCTCTACCCTTTCACCAGTGCTCTTAACCGTCTTCTCCGCCTCAGCGAGCTTCCTCTCTGCGGTGCTCAAAGCTTCATCGGTCTTGGTCAGACGGGTCTCCAAATCCTTCAGCTTGTTCTCGCCGTCGGTCCGGGCCTTATTCGCTTTCATCAAATCAACCTCCATCCGACTTATCGTTGCCTTCAAGTCGGCTTTGTCGGCCTCGAACCGGCGCGCCGCACGCTCGCTTTCTTGCTCAGCGGTTTTGCGGGCGGTTTCGATTTGCTGGCTGTGCTCGCGCTGGAGGGCATCAAGCTTAGCCTGGTGCTCGCGCTGCAGAGACTCAAGCTGGGTGGCTTGCTCTCTCCGGACAGTTTCAACCTGCTTGGTCAGCTCGTCTTCCTTATTCTTGGCTTCGCGGCGGGCGGTCTCGATTTGTTGTTGGAGCTGGGATTCCTTGGTGCGGTACTCCTTGGCGAGTTTGTTCAACTCTTGCTCGTGCGCACGCTGGAGACCGTCGTTGACGGTCTTGAGTCTGGCTGCTTCTGCTCGCGAGCGCTGATGCTCGGCTTGCTCTTTGGCCAGGTTCTGCTTGAGTGTCGTGACGAGCGCTTCGATGTTCTGGATGGCGTGGTCTTTGGCGCTCAGCTGCACGCGCATGTGCTCGACGGCTTCGTTGGCGCGGTGCACGTCGGACGCTGATTGTTCCTTGGTGCGTCGGTGGTCTGCTTGTTCCTGCCCCAGCTGCGAGGTCAGACTGGCTTTCTCAGCGGCAAAGTCCTCGAGTGCTCGGTCCTTCTCCTCAAGCTGGGCGCGCAGGGAGTCGACAAGCTCGCGCGAGATGCCCTTTTGTACGCCGTTGGTAATGACGGAGATCTCGAGCCCGGGGTCGCGGTCGATGGCCCGAATGATACGGCTGTAGTTGTCCTTGAAGAATTCGACAAAGGTGTCGTCTAGGTACACGTCGGGGAGCTTCTGGTCGAGACTGAGGTCGAGTTTTTGGGGAAGAATTTCGTAATCCCTCATCAAGGGGTAGGAGCGTAGTCTGGTCAGCTTGTCCACGTAGCGATCGCGGCCCATGCGGGACATGACCATCTCGCGCACCTTGGCGCGTGGGACGGGAGAGTCTTTGGTTGAAAACTCATACACGACACCAATTAGCATGGCGCTGAGGCCCTGCACGATGATGTCGCCATTGGGGTTCTCTACCGCCGCTTGGATAAGCCCCTGGAGGTTGGTGAACTCCCCTAGGAAATCGTTAACCGCATCCAGGTCCTCAAATAGCCAGCATAGGAGGAGCATTAGATAACCAATGATGACGCGAGGGTCATCGTTCCTAGCCACGCTTCTGAGAAGATGGGACGCAACGGTTTGAATACTTGTAACCACTTCTTCGCCACTGGCCTCATCTCCCTCGGTAACCTCCATGGCCAGGTGCTTCGTCGTGGGATTTTCATGGACCAGATGAAGCATGAGCACAGCGGCGAACCAGTACCTATACGGATCTGCCGTGACCTGGTCTGGCACAGGCTGAAGCAACGTTGTGAAGATGTTGGTAAGCTCATCAGCCTGCATCTTGTGGCCTTGGATAGCTCTAGTGAGGAAATGTTTGCGAATCTCTTCATGATTATTGAAGTAGGCCTTAAGACAGTTGCAAGCTGCCATGCGCAAGTCAAACTCCATTAGTGAGTTGACGGCCAGGATAAGGTCAAGTAGGCCGTCAATAACGTAAACCTTTGGCACCCCGTTGGAGTGAGGACCTTGACCGTTCATTGCTGGGTTGGCAAGCGGAGAGGGAACCTCCTGTCCGGCGAACCTCTCCTGTAGCCTTGCATTACCACGTATCATGTCTGCGCAAGCCGCGAGCGCTTCCGCCCTTATGGGAAGGTCAACGCCATAAGTGAATCCCAGCTGGAGAGTATTTTCCAGCACACGATCGTTCAAAAATGCGATCTGGTTCGCAGGGGTTCCGGCCGCGCCAGGGACCAAAAACAGACGTATCAGCGCAAGCAAAGCATAGATGTTCCTGTTGCGTTGTTCCTCAGCCCACTGCGCAACTTCCTCCCCGTCTGTGCTGCCCTTGTAGGCACTTCTTAATAGGTGCGCAAGCCGTGCGATGAATCCCATTTCCCTGACGTTGGACTGATTGGACGCGTTGAGACGAAGCAGGTTCGCCAACAAGATCAAGCAATCCTCCACCACCCTTGCGCCCTCGACGAGACCTCCTTCATTGGTGATAATCTCGAATATGCGCTCGAAACCCTTCTCGAATGCCACCAGCTTCTGGATATCCACGGATTCGGCGGTGAGGTCGATCAGCAGACTGATGGCCGCATCCCGGACGGCTTCTCGCCTGTCGTCGAGCACGGCAACCAGCCTAGGGATGCCCAGGGGCGCAACGAGGACGCATTCTTCGGTTCTCTCTGTCCGGGCAAAGTGTATGTGGGAGAGTAGCTGGAGCGAGTAAAGGCGCGAGTAAAAGTCGGTCGTGTCGAGCAGGTCGAGCAGCAGCGTGATGTTCTCCTGGCGCTGGGTGAACTCGTCGGCGAGCCAGAGCGCGATCTCCTCTGAAGCTTCGGGGCTGTCTTCGTTGGGGCTGAAGAGCATCAGCAGTGTCTCGAGGACGACCTTGACCGTGTCGACATCCTCGCCATCCCTGCTCAGACTCCCAATGAGACTTCGTAGAGCGCCAGAGGCTACCGAGGCCGGGTACTGCTTGGAGAAGCTGCGCAGACCGAGGATGGCGGCGCGGCGGTCTTCGAGGAGGGTTGCGGTGTTGAGGCGGCCGCTGAGGACAGCAATGGTTTCGCTCACCGACTGCTTGGCCGGCGCCGCCGTAATGGTCGAGAACATGTTCGAGGATAGAGGTAGTGGACTAGTTTGGATGCCATGGAGGGAGGGACTGGAGGATCATGGCGTTCGGCGGGGTGCGCGCATGCTACAAGGTTAAGAGGTCGGATCACCACCTCCTTCTTGCGTCGTCGGGGTGTCACTCAGTCAGGGGTAGGTACCTGTGTGGTCCCGCTATAGCGAGCGTAGTGGTACTTGCACCTGTAGCTTATAGCACTCTGAGGTTCCGCTGGATGTACCCGGACAAAACGATTGGAAGATGGAAGGGCCCGCCTTGTTACAACCACTCACTGCACACAAACGAAGCCAGGAAGTACTTGGCTTCCATGTGGCAATACAACCAACGGAGGCCAACGGAATGAAACTAAGGGACAGGTGGTCCTTTCATACGAACAGTCCAGCCCGCGCAACAATTCCATGGCGATCATCAAGGCATGGTAAGTAATAGATACCTACCTCTAGGTAGTGTTCATCATTTCATACCTTAGTTAGGGTCGTTTCGGGACTCATGGAAAGTATATAATCGTTCAGTTGTAATGCTACCTATGGTCTTTTGGATAAGTAACAAATGTCGCGTGTGTACCTCTACGGTTCCTGCGCCTCAACCATACCGTGCTCTGTTAGCCCGCATAACTGCTGACCGTAAAGCGTCATGTGATGTTTCGATAAGCCGATAACAGTCCGCTGTGGCGGTGTTATCGGTCTTATCAGTGCTTATCGTCCCTTGCCGCATGGTCTTGGCACTCGTTGAACCCTTGAATTCTTTCGCATGTCAGAGCTCGGCGTTCTTGTTCCGGTCCTTCTTTCCCCAGTTCATCCATCACCACCTCTGCAATCGCTCTTATCCAACGGGCATTGCTGCAAGGACCGCTTTGCTGTGTCAATTTCAGCCCGGATCGGATTCATTGGATTGGGCTTTCGACAAGGCGTGTCCTCAATCTTGCTGCACCGTTTCCACAGTGCACTTTGTTTGAGGTGAACCTTGGTGGCTCTATCTGCGGTCACCTTGCCCGTGTTGTGCATCAGCATCTTTTGTTGCCCATACCAACCGATCCCTTCGACCGACCTTATACCTCACTCAGTCTTCTTCCGTCAACATTTACTTTATCCCCTTTCCGTCGGTGCGAATTGAAGAACCCACTACGTTCACTTTACGAACCACCATCTCTGTCA